CCATTGCTGTCGTGTTTTCGAACCCTGTCGAGGCCGCCGAGTTTTGCACAACTGAATCAAGTAAATTATTAGAATCTACCAAAACCTAGGTTAGAAAGTCAGCAGTTCGTACCTCTTCTCGTGTCCGTATGTGACTGCATTCAAAGAAATGGCTACTGACTGCAGGCCAGCTGTATCTTTATTGCAGAATTTTGTTTGTGTAGGCCATACTTCAGAAAACGTTTTCGAACTTGTAATTGAGCCTTCTGTTCTTCATACATCATAGGTCTTCGTTCTCGGATTTCTCTTCGAAATACGCCAAGGACGAACGGTTCAAGGGCATTGAAAAAATGCGAGAGCGTGAAAGCCTGTTCCAAGAATTCGTATCAGACTTACGACTTCGCGAAAAAGAGAAGCACAGTCAGAAAGAGAAGGTACGTTTTCTTCTTCATCTATCGGCAAATATTAGCAAAGCGACTTAATAAAAAAGAACTGCTGTCGAGAACAGTTGGGTTCCTGAGCTATAGCCACCGAGCTGCCGTAGTTATTGTTTGCATTATAACAGGAGTATTTTTAGGCGGTTACCAAAGTTCGAACTTTCATCGTCCCAAAGAAATTACACTTTCCAGTCTTAGTCGTCTAAATATTTTGTGATGTTTTCTGTGTATTTTAATGTCATTGGTGTCTAGTAAAGTCAATTTAGCTAAAATTTGCGCCACTTCACCAACTTTGAAATTTTCTTCGAAGCGCTCTTCAAATTTACGCTTAATATATTTTGCGTCGCCATTTGCTAATAACCGTTCGATATTAAAAAAGCAGCGTTTGCTGAATCAAACATATTAATTTTCTTGTACACCATTTTTGGAAAAAAAGTATTCTTTATTAGAAAATGTAATCACATAACCAGCCATTGCCCCTTTTCATGTTTCGTTGCCTCCATAACCAGTAAGGCGCGTTAAGGAACTATAATAATGCCTAGCGAACTTTTTAAAATGCCGTTCTTCCTTTAATCGGCCAAGGTGGCCATTTTTACGGGCCTTGGTTGTGTTGTGCATGCTCTGTAACTTGTCTTAATATTCTCAATTGGTTATCGGGATTCCTCGAAGATGGATATGCGTTCATGCAGCTTTCGGGTTTTGTGCTTCTTAAACTACCTCTTCGGCAAGAATGCGACTCCTTCTGATGCCAAAAAGCCGGTAGTTTTGTCCGAATGATTGGGCTTTCTTGCGGGTGTTCTACAGACTTGGGAGGCAGATCTTCAGTTGAGGACAGTGCCCTCACACTCAACCTATTTTTCACGCCCTCACATCGTTACACAGGTCAGGAAGTAAGTAGTAAGTATCTCTTGTCATGTCCGTATGTAAAGGATTTAGAACACGAAGATGGACTTCTACCTTTATAAAACGGTTTCGTTTTGGAATATTTACTTTGTTACTTATAACCGTCTGACTGTCGCTTATAACCTAGTCAGACATCTATTGTTTGTGACGTACTAATATTTCAAAAAATGGCAAAATGCCAACTCTCACATTGCCAATACTCACTTTTTCAAGATACTTTTCGCGCAGTTTTACGAGTATATTATTACGTTTAATTTTTTACGAAATCACCGTGGTTCAGCATGCACGTGGCACATAATTACGTTTTATTTGTTGAGGAAGGATCGTGCTTGAACATGAGACCGCGCACTTTAAAAGGTGCCTAAGTGCTAATTTCTTCGTAAATATTATGCGAATGGTTTTTGTATTGTAGATGTACAAAACCTAAAACTGTTAGGCATTGATCCCTAATTTAATTAACATCGTTTGGATTCTACAAAATCAGTGGGCCTCTGTAATTTGTCAAATTTTAACTATTATCCAACTCGGCTTACAGTATTTTTGCCTACTACGTATGGAAGTCTCTTTGAGGGCATTCCCAAGATAGTTTCTACTAATAACTAAATTTATGGTTACTAAAATCGGCTTTCTTTCAGAAACTTCTGGAGAATCATTACAGGTCTATTTGGCTGGAGTCATGGATTTTGTGCCGTCCGCGTACTGGCGCTTACTGCAGGATTATTTGGTGTATGTCAAGTTTGGCTTAAGCAAAGCTTATCTTGCGTGACAGTGCATGCCTCTTTTGTCAAAAATAATTAGCCGTCCGCAGAAGTGCTAAAAAACCGTGTAAATCGCTCTTTCGTTTAAATAACTTTTAACTTGACATTTAAAACAATGCAATAGATATCACGAACTGCCTTTTTGACGCACTACAGCTCGCTCAATTTAACGACCGATTAGTTTCCGGCACTCCCATTGGGGCTTTCACAGTCCTGATTGCGGGCTATGCATAATCAAGTCTACTGTACAACAGATAGGCGTTCGCAGGACCTTGGTGTTCTTTCATTGATCTGTTCATCTGACCCGTGACATCGACGGAAGCAACCTGAACCGATCGCATGGAAGATAACGCCATCTATAGCAGGTTTGTTTAAACCAGTAACCGTATATGCAATCGAGTCCGCGACATGTCTGCTTAGGTCTTCATCGTACAGTAAAATTTTTGGTGACTGCACTTACCGTGAGAGAGAGAGAGGGCTAGTAAGCTTCCAACAAGACATGTTCTTGCTAGGTTATACCGCTCACGATTTGCGCGTTGCCTGTTTCCTTAGGACAGGGTATATATTTAACTGAATACTTCAAAATATCCTTACTGTAATTACCAAAGATGCCTATTTCATCAGAGGTTTTCATAGAACAACTCTAGCGGTTGCTCTACATATCGCTTGAATTTTTGATTATTTTCATCTTTTGTATGCATCGATTACAGACTTGACTTTCCGTAATTGGGATCTAATTCAAGTAATTAGTCTGATTTCCAATCGCTACGAACCTTTCAGGCGTTCATACGACTGTTCAACATTATTGCGGCAGTCGAACCTTTTCAGTGAATTCGACCTCTTCGGGGGCTTGTTTACTTAGGCCATCCCTGACATCCCGGAGGTCGCGAATAAAAAACCCACCAGGTTGCAAGACTGTTGTCTAGAGCATTTTAAGCAAACAGCATTTACTAAATTCTTGAAGCGAATCATCTTTTAGTATGTTACTTACAACCACCTAGACATTTTACTAGTTAGGTTGTCTGACAAATCAGCCTTTTTGCTAACAACTATCAATTTTTTAGTTAGAAGGAGCACCGTAACTTTTCATAAAATTTTTTACATGGAAAATTCTCTATTTATCGGGACCTTGAAAATCGCCAGTGGCCAAGTTATCCTCCGGCATGCCGGGTGGAAACTTGGATCTTATTTAGTCTTCTCTTAGTCACCTCAGATTTGTTTGGTTACATCCTCGATTGTAAGAAAAGGCTTGGTTGATTTGTTTATTGCTTGCCTCACCAGATTGAGAGCCCAAACCCATGTTTAGCCGATATAGTTGTGGTTATTCCGTTCTAGGTGCCGTCCTTCGGCACAAGTATTCGTACTAGATTTCGTTTTGAGCGTTGAGGGATTTGTGCCAAAGGATTTGCTCCAAGTCAGCGCATTAATTTCTGAAACGTATGAGCTGAAACATATTTTTGAATTTTTTAGCGCTTAGCACGTAACAGTCTATTTTTTGTCATGTTTTTGTTCTGAAACCCACAAGCTCGCTTACCTGGATACACTGAGTCCGCAGTGGCGTTCAGTTCGGATACGTTAGCTACCGATGAACAAATTTGACTTTTTAAATATGCTTTATCGTACTCAACCTCCACCAGAATAGACGATCATCTCACAGATAGTATTGCCAGCAGAGACAAAGGAGACGGGAATGGCCATTTCTGGCTCATTAGCGGTCATCAGTCGGTCACACCGAATCCAACCTGGTGTTCCAGAGGCTCGAACTGGTGGCCTTTTGATCAGAAGTATAACAACAACGGGCCCGTTGTCTTGCCGGTTTAGGCCGAGTGATATTGACTTTCATTGATCAGCGTTCACCGATTGCTAACAGAACGCGCTTGTCCCCTTCTGCCTTGGGGCTCATTCTCGAACCCTACCAACAGCCGCACAGCGGCTAGTAAGCAAGGTACATAGCATTGTCAGCAACACAAGGTCACTTCGCTTGTTCGAATTTATAACCGTTGTATTCAGGAAGGCGATAACAGAAATGCTAATGATCTGTGGAAACTTCGCGTTAACGAGCGACTTTTCGATGCCTGTAGGAGCCGAAAAAGTTGAGCGGTGGTCTGGCCTCTTGCTTAATTTATTTTGCGCGCATCACCTATTCACTAGAATGCTTTCCCTTTGCAGGTTAAAAGCGACTTTATAAGTCTGCTGAAAGAACAAAAACTTTCTCGGCATTCACACTGGTCCGACATAAAAAAGAAAATCGGCTCCGACCCTCGTTACCGTGCTGTCGACTCATCAAGTCGACGCGAAGACTGGTTCAAGGAGTATGTTCGTAAACTAGAAGAGGTATCGTCAACCACCCGTTATCTTCTTGCATCCTTTTACTTTGGTTTTTTTTCCATATATTCGATGAATTCTATTTTTGTAATCGAGAGTTGTGATAGTCTCAGACCCGGGTCGTTTCCGTTGTGTTATAAACCAAACTGTAATTTTTGATAATGGCTTGAAATTCAGTGGCAGTGCTAAACTCTTTCGGTCTGCGTCACCGAAGTGGAACACACAAACGGCTAGAGTTCTGTCGTACGGAGTCAGTCTATTCTGTGCATTTGAGTGCAATTCAGGCTAATCATTTTAAAGAAAAGACTACGGAGATGTCGTTCGTTAACTTAGGTTTTTGTATTGAAACGCGATTGCCTCACCTAGAGCCCAGAGTAGGGAAACAAAGCATATGCAGGCCACAGGCACTGCATGGTAAGCGAGTCGACATGTTCTGCGGATTCTTTAATCTAATTACATGGTTGCTGTTTACGATATACTCCAAGAGAAAGGGTTTTTTGCTTACAAGTAGCCCTGACAGGTCCAGGTCCGTCAAACACTGAACAAGGGTTTACGGTGAAGTAGCATTGCCGAAAAGGACTAGGAAGACCTGAATGACCATTCATGGCTTATTAGCCGTCATCAGCCAGTCAACCCCAACCCTCAGATATTGTAGCGCGGAAGTTTGTTGGTAGCCCATGCTACCAGCAACCGACGGCCGTTTGCTTCGTCGACTTTGCCGCCGCATTC